GAAGAAATTTGCAGAAAATTGCATACAGTTAACTTAGATCAGTACGGTAATATATATGAAGTGCCCTTTCGAAAATTTTAACAAAAAAGTACTAAATACTAGTATTATTTAAAATTAGGCCTACAATGCCCGTAAGGCGAAAATTCCCATTTATAAATCACATAATGTTGATAGGCCCATCTATAGAGTATTATTTACTAAGCAATTCAATTTACAATATAATTAATATAGAAGAATCTCATTTAAAATTTTATGGTTTAATATAAAGTCTAGTATGTGATTTTGTTAAAATATTAAGAAATATTACGGAATTACATTACAATTAGAACATTACAATGTCCATATATAAGATCCGTTTTCGCAACTCCTTGTTTACGTTTTCTTCGCCATAAGAGTGTACTGGGCGCAAAATTAATTTAATATAATATTTTGAAATCTTTAATATTATTGTGAATTAAAGAATCTTAAATAATATTTTAAAGAAGAGCGATAGCAGTTTATATCGTGATTGGAACTCTTCCTATTAAATTTGCTAATTTCTCGACAGTCTAATCTCCAGGTATTTCAAAACTCCAAAACTCTGGCAAATAAAATTAATTGATACATTTAAAACTTTGAGTTTAAAAGCAAAAATCTATCACTTTTTATAATTTTTAATTTTACTATACAAATTCCATAAAAAAATTTAATCAATCTCATTTAGTTCCGAAAATATAACAAACAAAATTTAATCAACGTCATGAATATAACAAGCTTAGATGTTTTTAATTTTTAAATTAAATTAAATTTTTGCTTAGAATCACAGATTTTTATAACTTTTCAAAAATTTTTACATGAAATTATTAAATAATGGCCAAAATGCACAAAAAATATTTATTTTATTAAAAAACTTTACTAATTCGGAAATGTTCTATGACCGTTTCATATTGTATTACACTATTGTCCCTACAATAGATTGAGTCCAATCGACATTAACAGCTGTGCTGAAAATCATCTTACATGTATACCAGCACAGTAGGTACAAAAACAAAATTTTTCATATGGTAATTACGTGTTTTTCTTAAAAATTTCTTAATCTCACTTTTGATATCCTTCAAAAACGAAAACAAACACATATTTTATAAATAAAAAAATTAATTTTACTACGTAACAATAATTTTTTCAATATTTTATTAACACAGAATATTAAAGGCACCTTTTAAAAATGTCATTTTTGTTTTTTTTTTAATTAAATCATTATAAAAATTTAATATTAATAATAATTTAAATGAATAATTAAAAATGTATAAAATAACCCATTTCTTTTTCTGTTTTTTTAAATTAAATATAAATACTGCTTGCACACATACTCATATATGTAATTGTAATTACATAATAATCTAAATTATCATTTATATGAGATAATTAAGATATTAATAATGCTAATGATTATAAAGTAGTTTTTTCAATTTCAACATTAATTTCCACCCTTTTATAACAGGAAAAAAATTCACTTATCTCTTGCTTTTCTCTCACTTTTAATTCATTTTGGTTTCACAAACTTACCTCTTTGCTATGGTTAAATAAAAATTATCAATTAACTTCGTATAAATAAAATAAAAGCCTAATTAATTTTTATTTTTATTATTATATATATTTTTTTTAATATTATTATGATTTAATATAATGCAAGAGAATATTCTTATAAATGACATAATTAGCCGACACAACTGTGTATGCGTATATAGTAGGAACACAACTAACAATTTCATTTTTCAAAGAAAAAAAAATTCGGGAACCTGTTGCCAACCTGTTCCCTTACATGCACTTCAATAATATTGAATCTCTTGTTGAAAGAGAGACAAGAAACATACGAGTATACATACAAGAGTATGTCATAATAATAAGAAAAACCAAAACACATTTTTAATTCAAATTTAAAAAAATATTAAATGGACTAAAAATGCGACGCACATTTGTACAAATAAAATAATTAAAATGAAAAAGAGTAAAAAAACAGTTCAAATATTTTATTTAAAAAATTACCTGTATACCGTGTTGTGTGTGTGTGTGTTGCTATTATACGATTTCAAATTATTATTCAATTAAATTATACTTTTAATAATGTGTAAATAAATTTCCTTGATAAAAATTAAATTAATTTTTCCACATTTCGTGTTTTTCAGTAATATATTTTTTTTTACTTGTGTCATAAATGTGAGTGTACACACATGTTGGCATTAAATAGGCATGTAAGTGGGTCCATATGCACGAAAACGTTATCATTTATTTGCTTAATGGCTTTTAAAGACACTTAAAATGCATTAAAAATTGCACTTAACTGCAACATATTTTTTGTTTTTGAGCGTAGTCATAAAGAAAAATTATTTAATTTCAAAAAATGACAATTTTTAAATTATTTTAATTTTTAATATGAATGATAAAAGTTTTCTGAATTTCCTTCAAATACTTTGTATATATATGGGCAAATTTCCTTACAAGAATCTTGTGAAGCACTCGTTAACCGTATAACAGTATAATTGAGTACATACTATATGTAATACATTCAATTGTAGACTCAATACGGTGTAAAATATTTTTTTTTAAATATCACCTAGAACGCTATATTAGAATATGAATTAATAATATTGAATTTTTGTAGAAACGGAAAATAGAACTCAAATCGAGGATCAAATACAAGGAATGGCAATAGCATTCGTTGATAAAAATGATGTCATATTGTTTTTTCTAAGAAGGAAGTGTTCTAAACTGTTTATTCCGACTGTTTTTTGGAGGAGGGCATCAGGAAGAGAGAATCTAGTATGATTAATATTCGAATAGTAGTCAGGGTCTTCTTTCGAGTTATTGTGGAATTAATAGCATTATAATCAAACAAATTTTACAACAAACTACCCGGATATTTTCTCTATATTCACATGTTCTCAATACTAAGTTAAAAGTGACTTATATACTAGCGTGGAGACTATATTGGAGACTTCCTCTCGTACTCTCTCATATAATGAAATTTAAAGCACAATTTTTTACTTTGTGCGAGCGTTTTATAAGCACTTAAATCGAATAGAACATCACAAAAAGTTTCTATGATTAAAATCTGGGCCCCATATTTTTTAAATCGAATTTTATTTGAAATGTGGAACTGTACAGAAGGCAATAATTCTAATTTAATTTTAATAATATTCCAAGCATCAAACAATTTTCAAAAGTCGTACGCTTAATTTAAATCGAATTTAATTTGCTAAAACCCTCTATAACTAATTACTTTTCTCTGTTTCCTCTTAAAATTTCACCTTGTTTTCACCTTTAATAGTGTTCGCATTAAAAATTATTGTTGAAAAAAATTAAACACTTGTTGAACAAAGTGTTTGATCGAAAATTTGAAATATGTTCAAAAGAAAAAAGGCTAATAATTAAAAATTACACTGCAATTGATAACATTAAGTTTTCTTTACACTATTTTATAGTTTTTTTTTTTTTTTAATTGTTATCTACTATCATAAATAAGTAGGTATGTTGTTTCATTATTATGTAATTATCGATTTAACACTTCTTCTTTTTTTATTTACTTCCCAAATATCACTGCTTTTTTATTTTAAAAATTAATCCTGAATTGTTAACGTGTGTGGTACTTTTTAGTATGCATTATTTTTGTATACATTCAATTAATTTAAAACTCCCTTAAAACAAACAATCACGCCATAAAACAAACAAATAAAACTCTCTCGAAACGTTTGTGTATAAGAAATATTTTTGTTAACCCTATAATTAAATATCCAACATGACCGGAATTTATAAAAATTCTCATTCAGAATGGTTTTCTTTTTATTTTTTGTTTAAATATTATAAGCATATAAGTTGAAAATGTAAACATTTAAAAGGACTGATTCCTTTTATTAAGGTACACAAAATATTAAAGAACAATCATACTAAAACCACCTCTTTAATAATCGTATATTTAGTAAAGGTTGTAGACTGTAAGTTTATTAGGTTGATATTCTGACTGATTTATGTCAATAGGAAAAATAAAATGTAAATAAAAAAAAAAACAGTTGTTTGACACGCAGACCAGGTAATTATTACAAACAATAAAAGAACAAAATAAAAATAATCAAACAAAAGGATAATAAAAGAAATGTAAACAGACGTTTTAAGCACATTGTGACTTTTAAAGGATGATGAGATTTTGTAGACAAAATTTTGAAAAACTTGTGCATCTTTGATTATCAATAAATTTTATAATTTTAGAATTATTATTTAATTAATAATAAAGTAAAAACTTATTTACAAGGAACACAAAATTAATATTTAATTAATACACAATCACCTTAAAAATTAAAAATTCTAATCAGATTGAATTAAAATTCGAAAAGAAACAAGTGTAAAAATTAAAATTACTATTCAACTAAATTTCTATCTTGAAATTCCATGAAATTTTTTAAAATTTTAGAACCATATTTAGAGCAATTTCCCATTTAAATGAGCTGAAGTCTGTATAAGATTTGGAATCGATATCCTTTTCTTCGTAAAACTTCGAATCGTAAACCTTTTGAAATTTTTCCTGATTTATTTGAATAATATAGGATTGCTTGTTAAGTAAGCTAAGTTAAAAATATACGACATTTTATTTTAAAGTGTGCAGTATACAAAGTTTAACAGCAAAACTCTGGACTACAAAAATCAGAATATAATTTTATATATAAAATAGATTTTCGCATATTTTTCAATATTTTCTTATTTGGCTTAATACTTTATCATTTAAGTTAGGCAATTTTAGATTGTTTGAATTTGTGTATACAGTTTCTCAAGCTGTTCAAATAATTTTGGCTTATTTGAATAAAAAAAATAGTATCTTGAATTTACAGACTCTCTATAGTTTCTATAATTTATTACATGTATTTGAATGCGTTTATCATTTATCTGCTACTCAAGCAGAGACATTCAATCTGTTAAGTGTGATTTTAGAAGGTGTGTTAAGTAAAGTTACAATTAAGCAAATGCAAATATGTGTTAATTAATATCATTATTATTATTTTTATTTTGCTTAGAAATATAAGTGCATTTATTGATACTTACAAAATAATTATTATGTAATGTTAAACGTTAATGAAAATTAAATGTATAGCGAATAATATTTACAATGTTAATTCTCTTCTGAGTTTTATAAAATTAAAGCTAGATATCTATATGCATAGAGATTCTACTATAATATGTACAAATTTACATATATATTACATTATATGTATAACAAAATATAATTTAATACAAATATTTTTATACGTATACATACATTCATTATACATAAAAAAAATTTTTTGCATTGAAAATTAGAATTAAATAAAATCGAATACTTAAATATTATTGCTACTTAAACTAATTTGAATTGTTTATTCGCTTCTGAATCGATTTTATTGGCGGTTCCAACATATTTCTTTATAAAATGCATTTATTTCTTTAAATATTTTATTGAAACAATTTCAAAATTTTATTATTTGAATGCAAAAATCATATTTTAATCGATTTAAATGTGAATAAACGACCAAATCAATATTTTATCGCGACATCTACGTTCTACAAACTAAATACTTAAAAGAAAATCACAATAGTTGAAGATGTCAATTTAAACACAAGATGGCACTGTATTTTGAATTGAATTATTTTTGACAATATAAAATTTAAACTTACTTTTCAACACACAGAAACAAGTTTGGTGGTGAAAATTTTCTAAGTAAAAATATGCATGCATTTTGTGGTTTGTGTATTAACTAAAATTTATAAAAGGTGTATTTCGGATATAACCATTTCTTTTGATTCTTATTGAAAATTTAATATAACAAATTTCTCCGAAATTTTTGTTCGTTTTTTTTTTAATAAATATTTTCTATTACATATTTTTAGTTTTTAACCACATTATTAAAATTTGCATTTATTTATTTCTAAAATATTATCACTCCCAGATATTATTGGTGAATCCATTTGTGGACATAATTTCATTTCAAATTTAGGATTTTCAATTGATTCTATTAATATAAAATCAACATAAATTCGTGGTGTTGAAACTATTCTCCATGTTAACGGATTTAATAAACTTGTTTGATAATCCCATGTAATTGTAGCATGTGTTGGATTTTGAATATCTTTTCCCGGAACAACGGATACATATTCTTCTCCAGGTTCAAAATATTGTGGTGAAGATGAGAATGGCATCGTTTCAGTTTCACGCCGTTTTCTCGCATGCAATTTTATCGACAATGTACCAATTTCACCACCATGTAATATACTTTCTTCTGAATTTGATATTCTTACTGTGATTTTATAGTGATGTCCTAAAAATACGAAAAAAATAATAATGAATAAAAATTAAATTTTTATAAAGTAAAATTAATAATTTTTACATAAGAAAATGTAAAAGAGTTGTACAAAATAAATATGTAGATACTTACTGCAGAAAGGTTTGCTCTTAGCTGTAGATAAATAAGCCATAAGTAATGTATTATTATTAACAACACCTCTTTCTAACAATTTTTGATAATCTCTGTAACTATTATAGCCAAATCTAATACAATAATTATTATTTTCGCCACACCTATCACATTTTCCACTCTTAAAACTCTGTAAATTTAAAATATAAAAATGAATTTATAAAAAATCCAATTTAAATGAAAATATTAAACAACTTACCTCATATGAATCACATGTAATTGAATTAAAGCCACATTTTGGTGTAATACTTTCAGTAAAGAATTGATGACTTCTTATATGATTACAACCAAGAAAATGTCGTACACTTGTAAAGAAACTTTTTTCATCAGTTATATGTTCATGTAAATTTCCACCACATCCAGGATTATCGAATCCACCATTTGGGTAAAAATCAACATGACCAATGGGTGAATTCATACCTAAACCACCACTCATTAATGGATTTGAATCAGTATGAATAACATCAACATATTTTGCATCACTTCTATCTAAGCGAACAATTGGTTCAGTACCAGAGAATAATGGCGCAGCTGGATCTAAACCTGTTATACGGCCCAATTTTAAACCAAATTCTTTTTGTAATGCTGTACCCGTATAACCAGATAAATGTGAACCTAATGAATGCCCAATCATATGAACCTGATCTAAATTTTTCATACCAGTTTCAGCATAAATTAAATGTATAATATGTGCTGCCATAACACCAACTAATCGTATATTAGCAACAGCTTGTGTATATGGTGGATGTGAACCTGCACCCCAATCAATCATCATTACAGAACAATCTGGTTCTGCACGTAATAATTTTTTTGCAGTATCAAGCATCCATGGTTTATTACCAGCCTCCAAATAACCATGAACAATAACAAAAAATTTTGCATACGGATTTATACCGAATTTTGTAACATCAGTCGGTTTCTTAAGATCAACAAAATTTGGATTTTCTGGATTTTCTTTATTAAATACTGGAAAATGCGGTTGAATTTCTGATGGCCGTTGTGGATGAACATTTATTTGACGTGTATTTGTTGTAAATGGTCCAGTCAATGGAAAACAACCATAAATTCCAAAACATCTAACTTCATTTAATTCTGTAAGAAAGAGAAATTCAAACATAATATTAATAATTTTGATAAATAATTTTAATAAAAAAATTTAATATTTGTTTTGTAACTTATTTAATTATTTTTTTCTTATTCTAGAATGTTCTACTTTAAATATTCGCAAAAATTAGAACTTGGCCTTTAATTCTATATACATGTAGATCGCATATTTTCAATTAATATTCGCAATACAATATGTTACTAGACAGACAACAATGATGAACTAAATTTTTTGTAAACTTATCGGAAGGAATTTTTCAAAAAATATGTCTGATAACACGAAATTTGTTAAGGAAATGTTTTGATGTCTGGTGAATGAACTTTTGCGAAGAAATTTGAAAACAATTTTATAATAAAATTTGAATACATCTGTGCTGCTTGTGACAAATCTAGTTTTGTGTTTTAAATTTAAATAGTTCAAAATAATCAATTTTGTATTGTTACATCAGACTTCTTGTTATATTGTAAACCACGTTTGCTGTGTGCTCAACGCTAGTCAATTGAAAATTACAGACGAAAATTAATAGTAACACAACAGTTTATAAGAGATGCTATACTTATATCCGATACATACAAGTGAATTGACACCAATTTTATGACACTATAGAAATTATAGAAAATTGGAGATATTGAAAAATTTATCGACCAAAATTTGGAAGGAGATTCTGAAATTTAATGTATTAATGTCATATATCGCGAAACTAAAGTCCAGGTATACTTAAAAAAAAATTTATTAAAAAATTGTATAATTCAATACAAAATATTTTTGATACCAACAAATATTTATAAAAGCATTAATACAAACACATGTCATACGATTTAAACATACGCTCAATTATGTTTTTTCCTCTATAATAAATAATACGATAAAACATCCGATCACCTTTTGATTTTGTGTGAGGGTTAATTATTCTGAACTGTTTTAGCTTAACACTTCATAGCTATTATAAAACTTAACATAATAGTCTTGTGTATTAAATTTGAGTAATTAAGAACAGACCACAATTCGTTATAAATAACAAAATAGCAAAATCAAATAGAAAAATTAAAAATTTACATACATTTATTGTGAATTTATTGTGGGAATTTAGAAATTTATAGTTCAAGTTGAAGGTACTTATTTACATATGTATATAAGAAAATTCTATGTAAATTATATATATGTAAGTTCTCTTTTTTTCAAATTGGAGTGGAACTACCAAAAAACTTAAAATTTCTGTGTGATTTCGATTAATAGCATAAAATATGAAATAATCGTAGTTTCGATAATTCGTCACAAGTAGTTTGAAATCAAAATTTGCTTAGAAATCCCTTATAGTGCCCAACTTTATCTATTTTATTAAAATTTCATCAAATTTCAGAATAATTTTATCAGAACTTTAATCAAAATAAAATCGTTAAACTGCGTACTACAAAATTCAATCAATTTCAAATAATTTTAATCACCTAAGAATTGAACCGTGTAGAATACGGATTTTATATTTTGACATTTTTATATTAAAAAAACATGAGTACCAAATTTAATTTTTTAATTAATAAAAGTCAAATGAGCAAAAAAAAATAGCCAAAAATTTTTTTATTATAGTTCCAACTAAAATGTATTGCAAAAAATTAAATATTTAAACTCAATTAAAAAAAAAAATCCTAAAAAAAGAAAAAAAAACTCTTTCTGATTAAGTGTTGAACTTTTCATTAAAAAGGTCAATGGCACATTTTACGCGAAATTCATTTTTCTTTAGTATTTTTTTTTTTTCATTAATTTTTTGTTGATATTTTAATTCTTAAAAAGGAGATAAGTTAAACGTATTTCATTTTTTTATTTTGATTTTTCGGAGTCCAAAGTACGTTTAGAAAATTTTTTATCAGGAATCATTTTCTACGCTTTTCTTGTAAAATCTTCAAGATAAGATACATAGCGTACTGCAACGCGTCACAATATTGTTTGAAGTTCAGACTCGTTATGTTGTTCAAGGCATGGAATGCATTCCAATTTTAATTTTTCAATTAAAAGAGAATTCTTCTTTTATTTTCTCTTTTGACATTAAATTCGTGCAGAATTAAAGATTGTTTGATGCATTTTTCAACATTTTACGAAATTATTGGAAATTAAAAACAATTAATGTTGATCAAAAATAGTTTCAAAAAATGTTCGTATGCAATCTGGATAATAATGATGATTGATAAGTTTTTATTGAATATTTAAAAAACAAATTAATAAATTAAATAATTTTTAGCCAACCCAGTTTTTTAGTTGATTTTGTAGAATTTATTTAGATAAACATATGACCATTGTATGAGATAATTATAAGATTAAGTCTACCCAGCATCGCGTTTTCGTAAATTCTATATTTCCGTTTCAATATCCTCAAAATTAGGAGCACAACAATATTATTTTGCTGTATTGAAGTATAAATTGACATAAAAACATAGCAAACAATAAATCAAATAGAAAGTAGTTTTTAGTTACAAAAACACACGCTCAAAACTTCAGTTCGAAACCGTTACTATTTTTTCTGATAACGCATGCCGCTGCTTGGATTTAGTAACAGCACAATACATAAACTTTTTTTTAATGTCTGACATTTTATTACAAAACGACAAAGGAATTGGGAGCACATGAATTACAAAAAAGAAAATCAACCAATTCTGATGATTAACTTATAAACGGTAAAAATTACAATAAAAAAATAAAAAAAAAAAGCATTACCGCATCGAATCGACGTTATTATCTCGTCAAAATATTACTTAAAAGCAATAACAAAATTATGTTCTTATCTATAAAACTCGTCTAGGATTATTTTTTTAATGAATAATAATGTACTACATTTTTCTTCCACACAAAATAACTTGAACTAAATTTAATTATTGAAAATTTATGTATGTATGTACATATTATTAGTATGTAATTAAAAAGTATATAAATCTGTTTTCCAATTTTATTATGTAAAATTCTTATCAGAATATTTTTAATATTCTTAATATTTTCATGAGATTAATCAAAATGTCAACATGCGTATAAGGAATAGTGTACTTTGGACCCCCCTTTTAACTTAATGAAAATAAAACAAATATAATGTTTTCAAAACTATTCGATCGTAATCTTAGATGACCTATCAAAACTATCTGCTATTTATAATTTATTATTAATACATTTTAAATAGTTAGAAAAAAATATTTATACATTTGATCGAATAACAACTACAGGAACTCTTCATGCTTATTTCATTTTATAAAAGAATCTATAAGTTTAATATAGTATAAAATAACATTTGAAGAGCGCCATTTGAAGCATCTTAAATTTGAATGCTATAGATCGAATTTGTTTACGACATTTCATACAGATTCAACATAACGAATAAAATGACAAATTCATAATGTACTTGTTATTCAAAAAGAAAATATAGTATAACGAAATATAGCGCCATAATAAGTATACATACTCTTTTTCTTTAATTTAAATTGCTTGTAACTAACTAATTGTAAATATAAATTATTTTGTTTAAATAAAAAATATTGAAATAAAATTTCAATTAAAATTGAAATAATCAAATATTTAAGCAGTTAGTGATACTAAAAACAATTACAATTACTTATAAGTAGTATTTATTTGCATGCAGCATGACAAAATAATCATATTTAAAAGTAATCAAACAAAAAGTTTTTAATCTCTTTTGAGTACATTTAGTGAGATGATAATGTGTGACTTGTGTCAAAATACATTCATTAGTAGAGTATATATAGTTAAAAAATCGATTCGCAATTGAATATCTTAAATTAATTATAGTTAAGTTTATACAATTGACATAGAACTTAGTAAATTTAATAAGTTCTGTAAAATTTTTGATTAACTAAATTTGATAACATTTTATATCTATCCTATAGAAATAAGAATATTGCAATAAGGCGGGAAAATCAATGTTATATTTTCGTTATTTGTTATTTATTAAAAAATTATAATTTTTACATATTCTGTTTGTTAAACAAAATTTTGATTAGAACAAAAAATTATGTACATAAATGTATAATGAATAAGATATTTTAAAAATTTATGATTAAATGAAATGGTTTTTCTTTACAATTTTTTATAATCTCTTAATTATTAACAATTTAATTTTATCAATTTTAATATGTTATACATATATATTATATAAGACTCCAAATCAATTATAATAATAATAAAATTTAAATTCTTTACTCCTTAAATACTCACTCCTACATGTATAACACTATAAATAGAATAAATAATTAAAAATATCAATCTTTTCAACTATAAATAGATTTCATGTGAAAGAGTAAAGAAAAATCAAAAGAATACATAGTTCATAGTTCAAAAACTATACCAATATAAAGATTAAGCGTTCATTTATATTATTAACTAATAAATATTTTTATAAATAAGTCATTATTATATTACAGACGATTGCAATTATTCAGGTCATCATAGAAAAGAAAATAATAATTTAATTTGTTTTTTAATAATTCTTTTTTTCATAGAAGCGAAATTTTTGTAATTGATGCAAATTCTTATTTAATCTTCTTCATTTCCAATTCTAATCAAATTAAAATTAATTTAAATTTTTTTTTTGTATTTTTTATGTTTTTTTATATTTTCATTATTGTTATTATTATAAAAAGAAATTTGCAATATTCAATTAAAATATTGTTGGTTGACATAGAAAAATTTAAATTTGAATTAGCAAATAGTCAAATTCATATTGGAATTAATTAGTTTTATATAAACCTTGAATTCATAATTAATGCTAATATGAAATTAAAATAAAATTTTTATATTACATATACGTGGGTGCAAAAATCACATAGTAAATCAATTATAGATTTGAGTATTAGTCACAGTCAGTTAAAATTAAGAAATTAAGAATATTAATGCACACTTACAAATGTTGACTAACTATTTATTAAGCTTTTCTAAAATATTATTCATGTAGCTTTTCGTTGGCAATTCTTATATAAATTTATATTAGTCAACACTGTTTTTGTGTCAAAATTACTCTTTTTTAATTAGACTTCAAATTTATTTATAAATCTATTTAGTTTAATTAATAATTAAGATTTTATAAGACTGTCACGGATTTTCGAAATAAATTGATTCAAAAATTATTTAATTTTAAAATAAGTTAATAAATAACATTTTTTTAACTATTTAAACTTGTATTATTTACATACATAAAATACTTACCACTTTTAAGAGCAGGTGGAAAATCATTCAATGCATTTGATGCGGTTTTAGAAGTTTGATTTGATAAATATAACATTGTCTGCAAAAGCAGACTTGTTGAATTTGCTATATACATGATTGTATTCTAATTTTTTATTACTTTTATTATTATTCTTAAATATTATTTGTTATTTTAATAAATTATTTTTAAAAATTATATGTATGTATATCGTAAAATACAAATTTTTTAATACTGAATTTTAATTTTACACTTATAATTTATTATTTTTTTAAGATAAGAACAACAAAGTCACATTTCCACACAAGTTACAAATTTTTATATTAATTATTGTATTTCTTTTATATACAAATTATTTGTTTATAATTTTAATAATAATCACCATGTGTTTTAAAGAATTTTAATTTGATTCGCTTGAATTTCGCTCTTGTCATATAAATGTAAGTGATTTATTAATTAATATCTTATAATAATAATCTTTTTTGATATTTTAATTTCAACTAATTACAATTACAAATTTATTTTGTAATTTTATTGGTCAAATATTAATATTGAATTGAAATAATAATAATTAAAATCGTATTACAATAAAAATACGTGACACATTAAGTTCGATTTCAATTCTCGAATTTAACTAAAACGCGAGGTGTTTGTTTTTTTTAAAGAAATTAAAATTCGTATTTTAATTCAGAAATAATTTTTTTTTTTAATGTATTCTGTTTACTTTCATATAAAGTAATAAGTATTTTTCTTTTTTTAGAATTTTATAATTATAAAGAGAAGTATTTTCACAGTTATAATCGCTGCTATTTGAGAAGAACTGAAGTTGAAATTTTTATGCAGGCTCTTTTATATTTGAATTTTTTTAAAGATGAGCTTCAAATAATAAACAAAAAAAAAAAAAAAAGAAATAAGTATCAAAGATAAGAAATTAAAATTATATTAATATGAAACAACAACAATAACAACAATATAATTAAATGTTTTGAAGTCGAGCCTACAAAAATAGCCAATTCTTATTAATTAGAAGAAAGAATTATAAACGCAACGCAGCAGACACAGCCAGATAGAGAATTGTTTTAAAAGAAAATTAAAGAAAAACAAAGAATGAAAAAAGAGAAAAGAGAAAGAGAGTGAAGAAATGAGAACAAATTGATTGATTGATAAGGCTTTAAGCGTTTAAGCTATTATTTAAGTATTAATGAATATAATTTTATAAAATATATGCGCTACTGTGTTTATGTAGTGTTGTAGCACAAAAAAAACTATTGTAAACATTAAGATCTTGTTGTTTGGTCGCTGCAATTTAATATTATTATGGTCTTGCTTTTTACTATATCATTAACCAGTTCTAAGAATATTAATATTAATTGCATCTTGTTTTTATAATTTATAGAAAGGGTATAAAAATAGAATTCATGCCTTCTTTAATTTCTAGAAATGAAAGAAAAAAAACTAATAAACAAGAATGCAAATGCAAAAAGAAAAAGAAAAATTGAACAAGAATTTCTAGAATTAAACTAAGATAAGATTTACCGTCTGACGTATGTATGTAAGTTAATTATTTTTATTAGTGTCAAAATTACTTGTGAAATTTTAATGTCAGAAATCCTGTATAAATTTTCAAAATATTTCCAAAATTTTTGCAATTTCCATTAATAAATGTTTATAAATCATAATACTTTTATTTTGACAATAAATTTTCGATTTCAAAATTCGGAAAATTATATTTGTCCGTGCATACATTAAATTAGCGATTGAACCCTCATTATTTTGTTTTTATTTTGAGAGATAATAGAGACTAAGTCTCAAAGTCATTTTACCCGGAAATTTTTCATGAGGATATTGACTTTTTATACATAAACAAAATGAATAATTTTCTTTTAAGAAACTTAACTTTAATATTTTTGACAAGATTTTTGTTGATTCGTAAAAATTATTTTTAAAACATATTGAACTATAAAAAAAAATATTTTAAATTTGTTATTACATTTATAATGTTAAAAAAGCGTCATTTTGTAGGAGAAATTAAATACATTAAATAATAAATGAACAGTGTTTTCACAAATCACTTACTTCAGATGACGTCAGAAGAAGTCTATTAAGTAATTTACGAAAACTCTATTTACTTTATACTTACCTAAGTGTATACCCACCTAAAAATAATTCTAAATCTTTGAATTATACAACTATATAAAAAATATTGTTGACCATGTTCAATAATGACTTCATATACGATTTCAAACTCTAAATGGAGTTTTAATTACAATTATATTTTTTAATTTAAAATGTCACTTATAGGCAAGTAGAAATGACAATAAGTAAAAATTATTAATCAATCATCACAATAATAATTTCTTTCTTTATATATGATTAATTAATTATACTTATTGTGCTTGAAATTGTAAATACAAAAATTAATATGTTCTACGTATGTACTCGACATCAATATTCCATTTCTTTTCGAATGTTTCAACCATACTCGTAATTTGCTATTTAGAAAAAAAAATATTGAAATAATAAATTTCCATAGAGTAAAGAACGCGAATAATAATTTGTCACGCTATTCGTGCCAAAATTTATTTATTATGTTTGTAAATCTCAATATAAATTGTAAATTTATGACGCAAGTATAAGTTTTCTGATCCCTTCCTTTGAAATCATACAAGCCGACATTATAAAAAAAATTGGGTCAAATAGATTTGAATTAAAACTTTTTTTATATTTGCAAAAACTATTAACATATTGATGTTTAAAATCTTATATGTTACAGGAATTCAAGAATATCAACAGATTAACAGAATAGCCTAAGTAAAAAAACCTACGTTAATAATTTTGGAATATTGGGTATTCGCCTTTCATATGAGCTACCATCTAGGCACCTTTGTTTTCTTTGAAAACTTATCTTGTTAGCAAATCACTATACATATACATACTTCTAACTAGAATCTATATTTGTACTATGGTTATCTAGTATTTAAAAACTATATTTTTTTAATAAAACTTTAACCCCTTATTACGTAACATGTACCATCTACAAAAAAAATTTTTTCTAGAATTCTTTCTTGAATAATTTGATAAGTATAATTAAATTACTGTCATATTCAATTGATTTTTATACAAAACATTCTGTCATGATTTTTTAATGCGTTTCAAAAAATTAACCTCAAAAGCTATCAACTTTAAGACTCATGACGTATATAGATTTGACAAAACCAAAAAAAAAGTCCAACGAGTCTAAAAAAACAATGATTTTAATCAACTATAAATGAAATTGACATATGGAATTTTCCAGAAGTTAAACTGAATTTTTTTTTATACACGTATGTATTATATAAATTTATTTTTTTTAATGGCAAATAATCAAAACTTCTAAAATTATATTTAATTAAAATATTTTTAATAAAAAAAATATATAAGTTCGTAGGGTACACTTTAAATGCGATTTTAGATCCTGTTTGGTTTTATAAAAAAAATTTTCAATTTTTTTTTTTTTAATACATATTGAAATACAATCGCCATATGTTTGCGTTAACATGTATTCAAACTCAGTCCAGAATGTTGAAGATCCACAAAAAAAATTCTTTAAAAATTTTTAAATACGCCAATTGTTTTATATACTAAGAGAACACCCACAAGATCTTTTGTAGTAAAAAATTTAACCTTATCGAATACTTATAAGATTTGAAACACCACAAAATTTTCGCTATGTTTTCTTTTTTTTTGGTGTTCGGGACAATTGGGATTAAAAGATCACATAATTATTTTGGAAAATTTTTTTTTATTTTATTTTCGTTTAAATAAAATGAAAATATTGTCTGTCTCTATTAATTTTTTTTTTTAATATTTTTTTTTGTCTATTTTTTTTTATTTATTTAAATTAATTTGCCATTAATGAAAAATATTCTATCGTGGGAATATTTTGTACTTTGTACTCTACTATAAAAGAATTATTGCTCTGTAAATAGTCAATTATCTTTGACAGGGTCAAATATAATTAAAAATATATATGTATTTATATTTAAACCTTTGTATACAATATTATTTTTTATATAATGAAAATATTTATAGAAAAAAAATACATTAAAATTAATGAAATAAACACAAATCAAAATATTTAAAATTAGACAAATTCTAATTAAAAAAGATTAAATTATTAGATTTTAAGTACATACATTAAACATGCATTCAAAATATAGGAATATGCGAAAAAAAAGAAAACATTTCAACCCCAACTGCCCGTAAATATTATACAAGCTTTAACCTTTTTATACATTTTATACAAATGTACATATGTATGTGTTGGTATTGACGTCAGAACAAGGCTGCGCGGCATATTTATTTTTTTTATAATCAATATGAAAAAAAAAATATAAACATATATAAAATCTGTCTGAAAATTTTGAATTTAACAAAAAAAAAATAAGAAACGGGGCACATAAAAAAATTATCTAATAATAAAAAGAAAAAATGAAAAAAATATTTATTTTTTGTAAGAAATTTCGTGTAAATAAATAATCCGTCTTAATCCGGTTCTCTCTGATCTCTTATTTTTATTCGAATATTATTCAATAAGTCGTAGGTACACACACTTACGTACCTTGTTTTTGCAAAATCCATACGAAAAAATGAACAAGTAAAAAACAAACGTAAATATTGAAATTGAAAATTTTACTATTTTGCAAAAATAAAATTTTATAATAAAATATAGAAGGAAAAACAAAATAAAGTAGTTTTTTTTATTTTTTACCTCATTTCTAATAATGTAATGTTTAAAGGTTAAAATGAAATCTTATCACTTCGATTATAGTATAGGTTTCTATGTAAAATTTACAGGGTCCTTGTTAAAAGCACATTATTGATAATGTGCTTTTCCAAGCATTTGTATATTGCATAATTTCAATGCCGATTTTATTTTAAAACATTTCATATTATAAAAATCATTTAATGAAGTCACATAAATTAATTTAATTTTTTTTACATTCCGTATGTAATTTGAATACATCCGTAAGTAAAACTTTAAGTAACAATTAACAGGAAAATTATATTCCTATATAATATTTTTAAAATTAAATTTATACTGTTAAATTGAACTGTATTACGCTTGTACTTAATAGCTTTAATATTGAAAATTAATGAAAAAAGAAATTATTTCTAAAAAATATATTATATATATAAAATATCTAAAATTATTGGCTTATTTTAAAAACTATTCTCATTTAATACGTTCTTCTTCTATATAATTTAATTTAATATAATATGCAGGTACCATTTGCTATGAGACTATTGAAATATATGAGTTATTAAGACATTTTTTGTATAAATTAGTTACTGGTTTATTATATTAGCACAGTTAATAATTTATTGTTAATAATAAATAAAAAAAAACTGTAGAAAAGCAAGTAATTAACGGCATCAAAAGCAATTACTTTCGATGTATAAGAATAAGGCTCATCTATTCTAAAATTGCTTAATTTTCCACCCTGTAATTAATTTGTTCTAATTTCTCTAACAATGTATAAACTATTTATACTAAAATTAAATTTATATTTAAATTTAAAACATAGTATTTTCAATATATTGTGTAAGGACAGGTTATATTTTCTCTAAACACCCTTATAAAAGTAAACATTCGTCTAAAATATATTTTGCAAATTAAGCATATTTTCATTATATATATAAATAATATTGATTTTATTTTGTAATGAATAAAATTCAAAACATGCGTCATTATTTGCTCTATTTCACTTTAATTTGTTTTAAAATTTATTTGTTTTCTCCGATTTTACATTTTCGATATTGTTATTTACATTTTATAAGAAGTATTTATTAACTTTGGAACTTAACAAAATAAAATTTGATTTACGTAGGTGATGTACTGCATCATAATACAATAATCTATACGACTTGTTTCAAATCAGAATTAATTTATTACATTTCATTGTAAATACCAATAATTATAGAAATTATTTAATTATGCAACTAACTCTATACAAATTAAATCGTATAATAAAAGAATTAAGTTGGAATAGTTACTAGCCCCTTATTTTTATAAATACTTTTAAATATTTTTTTTTAGGGTTTAGAATACATTTTCATTAAATAAATAACAATTAATTTTCTTCGAAATTTACTTTATAATTTTCTACAAAACTCTTTTTAAAAGTAAAGTGAAAAACGTTTAAAATCGAGTTACAAAAAAACCTAAACTTAAACTGAATATTTACTGAATTTTTATAAGTGACTTTATATTCAAATAGTTTTACATTTTGTGGAGTCGTGCTACTGTTACACTTTTTCCTTTATATTAAGATAATAAATATTATATTTATTAAAGAATAAAAGTAATTAATAATTTTATTATAGAATTTTTATTATCCTACTATGAATTTCAATGTTGTTAAGACCACATCCTAAATGTATGCAATATTTTTTCTTCCTTGATTTGTACTGAGACAAATCAAGAAATTCTTACTTGACAATATTACATACGTAACAAATCGCAAAAATTTTTGCATTATTAAAACATTTTAAATTGATTTATTTTAAATAGAGAAAAAAATAATTTTCATTTTATTAAAAAGGAAAAATAAAACATGATTTTTAAACTTACAAAATAATATTAATTTAATTTGTAAATATTACATAACTAAAAAAATTCCTATTTTTTTTTTTTCAGATTATTTTCATTTTTATATTTTCATAAATATAAAAGTAATTAAGTATATAAAATGTTAATTAAAAAAGAAATTCCTTATATTGTTTATAAACTAAATACATTACTTAGTATAATATTTCATTATATGGCCTTAAATATAAAATGTTTGAAAAAAAAAACAATATGATAATTTAAAATTTATAAATGTTTTGAAAATATTGTTTTCTATATAGTGGAATATATGTTTTATGTAAAATATTATATAATGTGTAACTCAAAATATTAAAATCAAAGTTTTCAATTATTTTATAAATAGTATATAGCTATTATTATGAATTTCTTATTTTTGTTAATTTCTGGTAATATATCAAATAAGATCTGAAAAGTTTAAATAAAATTTAGGTCATGTCTCTCGATGGTACCACTTAAAATATTTTAATTTCTTTAATAATAAAAACAATAATTACTAATTTTGTGGTTCTATCAAAATTTCTTTAAAAGCGAAAGATTGCTGTTTGTAAATTAAAAGTTCGATATTTAAAAGTATAATGTGATAGTTAAACAAAATAAATTCAAATCGACAATAAAATTAGAAAGAATCAAACATGACTTAGGCAGTTTTTACTTATAATTATAACAACAGAATAAAATAGTGTTTCTTGACAGAACCATTTACATGTTATATTTTTCTAAAACTAAATTTTCATTGAAACTTTCACTTTTATTAAATATTATATTAATATAACAAACAATATTTATTATATTTTTAATAAAAACAAAAAATATTTAATGAAAAATATTTTTTCAAGTTTTAAAATCGTGAATTCATTAGCCAGAATGATATTTCTTACTTTTTTGAATCAACGTATCAAAAATTTTGCAATTTTCTGTTACACTAAGAGACAATGAACTTTACGAATAAAAAATACTTTTTTAATAAATTAATTAGGAAAAAGAAAAAAATTGTTGGTACAATAAGGCCCATGATCTTCTGTATTGATTGTAAAATTAATTGTTACACACCAAAAAAACTTAATGAAATTAGATTAATGCTTAGATTAGATTAGAAATTAATCGACTAAACAACTTTTATGAAATTTTCTGACTAATGAATCGCAAGAAAAATATTTTTTTCATTCTATACAATTACATATTTAAAATACTTTACAGATCTTATTCATCATTATTTAGATTATGAAAACTTCTTATTTTATTTTTTAAATAATTATTTATAATTTTAAAAAATATAATATTTTGGTATTTCTTTTTAAAAATTAAATCCTTTGGCTAAAATTTCAGTATTAGTTTTATAAATTTATAACTTATTCATTTTATAATCTAGCATAATAATATAAAAATCAAAATTGTATTAATATATTTTTTTAGTCTGGTAGCGGCCTTTGTACAATCATATCAATTTTGTCACCAGCTGATGCTATTAAAGGTACAGTTAGACAACAGTCAAAATCAATAGTTTTTGTTCCATTTACCTAAAAAATAAATTCTTTTTAACAATGACATAAAATCAAATATGATGAAATAAAAAATATTCAAAATAATAAGCATACCTGAAGAATTCTATCATAAGGTTTCAAAACACCACATTTATCAGCTGGACCACCAGATCTAATACGATTTACAAAAACTCCTTTTTCATAAAGTCCATCTGATACCGAAAATCCATAATCATCGTATACTTTGTCTTTATACAATGTTATATGTATTACACGATTTTTGCTATCCTTGCTACTTGTTGTTGAGATTGCATCTGTAAATGATGGACTTCTTGTGCGACGTTGTACTTTGGCATAAAGTTCTTGACCTGATGTTAATGTATTACCGATTGCACCTTCACTTTCAACAATTAAATTATCTAATTCATCAATAGGACCGTGGTGCATTCTAATCAATTTTAAATCAATAAATTCATCACGATTCTGTTGTAACAATTTTGTAGCATGCGATAAAGGAAGCCCTTGTACTGATTCTTCATTGATTGCTAGAAGACAATCACCAATTTGTAGTTCACCAGATTTATGAGCTATTCCACCTAAAATAAAACATAAAATAGAACTTAGATTTTCTATAATAACAAAAAGCTATTAAGTTTGACAACAACAGATCCCCCCTAATTTATTGTATACCTTCAACAATTCCACTTATAGTTATAGGTTTATTTAGATCCTCACTTCCAGCTAATGTTATTCCTAATGGTCCACCCTTAGGTTCTAATCTTACAGTTGTTACAATTTGTCTAGTATCATATTCTTTTTCCTCCATAGGGGGCGGCAATTCACAATTTGAATTTAATCTAAAATATTAAATTAATTATTTTATAATAATAAATAAAAATTATATTTACGTCATGAACCGATCTGAAGGATAATCTAATTCGTATGGGCTTAAATCGTTATAGCATTCATCAGCCACTTCAGTTGTTAAACTTTGTGTATTTTCACCACCAAAACATCTACCAACATTTGGTTGTTCCATGGCACTGAATTTACCATATGGTCTTCGAATTAAAACTACTGGATTATGAACAGTATTTGAACCTTCCATGCTGTCAATAGTATCAGCACCAGAGTTACCATATTGTGGTTCATTACTTCTCGTTCGAAAATAATCTGGTTGTGGAGTTAAAGATTTCAGTGATGATGCACAATCGGTATACTTTACTTCACCATATTTAGCTGAATATGCATATATTTCTCGATCTGGATTACTATTAAAATTACCATAAATCGGATTTAAAGACCTTTGTTGAGCATCAAATAAAAAATCTGGTATCGAATCTCTTTTTATTGTTAATGTTGTACAACCTTTACTATTGTCTTTTAATAATGCATCAACATTAAAATGTTGTAATGGATGTGAATCAACTGCTAATAAAATATCACCAGCTCTTAAAGAACCAGTTCTATGAGCTGGACTTCCTGGTTTTACTTCCGTTATAACATATACCCCCCCACCACCAGTATGATTAGAACCATTAACTGTAATTCCAAGACCACCTTTACCGGTTTTCATTAGTTTTACATTGAAAACTCCACTTGATGGTATTACAGAATCTGCCATATCGAATTCAATTTCTAATTCAACCCAATTTGTACCTTGATATCCAAGTGGTCTAGGTCCCATATCACCTAACAGTTGCCTTATTGTACTAGCTTCAAGACTATACATTTTATTAACAGCAATTATTCGATCACCACTTTGAATACAACCGGATCGATCAGCAACTGAATCTTCAAGAATTTGTGCTATAATAACACTACGGCCACAAGCAGATTGTGCTCCAAGTACTAAACCTGAACCATGTGTACAATCTAATATAACCTGTATAGTTTCAGTTCTACATACACCAACAGATGGTGTCAATGTACTTCCACTACTTTTACGTGCTTGAATTCGACGCTGTCGTGATTTACGTGATTCCAATGTACTGTAAGTACCATTTCCAAGACCATATTTTGATTGATTTCCAAATGAAAAACCTATGAAAAATAATTATAAAACATTGCTTAGAATCTTAATACTTTTTAATTTTCTATTTTATTTGATAAACTTGTGCACAGTAAATTGAACATGTGTGTATGCTACATTTTAAAATGTGTATGCGTGTACATAGGTACAGACAATATAAATTAATATGCGTTTTAGAATTATAGCGAGAAAAAATAAATCAAGTTTTATTTCTTTTTAACTATATTGGACTTTCGTTATAGTACCGTACTAAATAAATCTGAATTATTTAGGGGGAGCAATAAAATAATTAAAAAACTCGTAAATAAATTCATGTTCAACAGCAATAAAAAAAATTTTTTATTTTATTAAAATTAAGAAAAGTAGTCTACGATTGCGACCATTGTTTGCTTCTTAAATATAATAAATAAGAAATTCGCGATTTAAAAGTACTCAGCTAAGTTATGTATAAAAATATGTGGTGATGCCGTCTCAGGCTACATACTTTATACATGATATTTATGTAAAAGTTCATAAGAAAAAAAATAAAAAAAAACATTTTGAAGAATATTAATCTACATAGAAATAAGTATAATTTAAGAACGCTTGCTCATTTGCTTTAAGTCACTTTCATTGAATTGTTCGTTTGAGAAAACAAATCTTCACACTTTTTTAAAAGACTTGTTAAATGTATAATAGGAACAAAATTACCAGACATTCGCACATAGAAAATAAATCATTTCCAAAGTGCAATGAACTCGCAAGGCAAGATAAAACAAAAAATTAAGATATATTATATTCATGTCAATAATTACCCGCTCGAACGATTTCTGAAGCTGTCAATTCTAAAGCTATCAATCGACTGAAGCCTTCCCTTTTTTTAATTTGCTTGAACCTGATCTCTTGTAACAACTTTCTGCTTTTATTTTCTTATATTTGAAAATTGAACCCATTTTATTTTGGCATATTTTACACGTTTTGATTTTGACCCACAAGATTTTTTAAGAGTGATAACTACCCTGTGTATAGTCGCCTAAAGAATTATATATATTTAAATAAAACTGTTCTCAAATTCTCAAAACTTCTATTTTTTTGTAAGTACCATTGGCATGCTTAACATTGCTAGTAATTCTAAATGTCAATTTAGAGTTTTGTTGTCAATTATTAGAGTTTTGTGCCGTCAAAATATACCTAATGATGCATGATTACAATTCATTATGAGGAAATGTCGAAATGTCCCAATTTCTGAACAGAAAAGACATTAGATTATATTTTGAGTCCCATTGGAGTTCCATTGGGATACCAAAAGAAAATTTTATTAATTTTTACAATAACTTTATTAGTACTTCGATTAATATGAACAACTTTTGCAGTTGTTCCTAAAAATAAATAAAAAATATTTAATTATGAATTTTTATTTCATTAATTAAAAAATCACATCAGTTTATAGAACAGCTTAGGAGCCTTTTAAATGATTGTTTTAATAACAATAAACATTATTTTTTAATAATAATATTTTTTAAGTACCTTATAAACATTTCATTTAAATATCAAGAGATTTCAAAAATATTGCATAATAATTAAAAATTATTTGAATTTAAAAAATTATGTAAGTACATAAAATGTATAAAAAATCGTTTGTATCTTCTATTTTAAACCTACACAAAAAGGATTTTCGCGTTTTTTTTTTAAATTTATTTTTAATTTCATAATTTTTATTTTATTTTACAATGATAATGTGAACCCGTAAATATCTTCATTAAAATCATATCATAATTTTTTTGTTATAAATTGTCATATTAATTTTAAAAGTATGATCATTATGATTTCTATTTAATTTCTAATGCAAATTTATAAAATTTCAAAATATGCTTTTATTAAAAATTTTTATGTGTCTGTTCAACTCTCTTTTGAATTTAAAAAATTTTGTTTAATCTTATACATTTCTTCTATCTATAATCGGTTTAAAAGTATTGGTATAAGTTATTTTACAATAATTAATAAAATAAAAGATGAGTAAGTGAGCGAAGAGTTTGTTAAATGTTCTAGTAATCAAATAATTACAATAATTTTTTTAATAAATCTCGGAATAGATTTTGCTACACAAATAGTATGTATCGGAAAAGTTACACAACAAATGAGCAATATTACTTCAAAAGCTTGTAAAATTGTCTATGCATAGTAAATTTAACACTTGTATTCAATGAGATTCGCACCTAATTTTCCTCGATTTTAGCTACTCTCTATACGTAATTTTTTATTACAAAATGATTGGCTAAGCTAAAATCAAAATTGAATGATCAAATTTGATTTTCATGAAATAATTCTAATCATAACTCAATCACAAACAGTTACAATTAAAAATTTTCCCGTGATAATCAAAGGAAAATGCGCTTATTTTGTAAATCTGACTTTGTTTTAGACTTAATTTTATTCTTCTTTATAAAAATATTAATATTATATAAAAATATAATTTTTGTTTTTAACTCGAAAATATGAAAATTAAAGATAAAAAATTAAAATGAATTTATAAATCTGTGCATATCCGCTTTTGCTAATGAGAAGATTTTCATATATAAACTTTTGAATATACGCACAAAATATCTATAACTATGTAGAGATAACAACAATATTTTAAAAATAAATATACATTATGTAAATATGAATATATAGATGTGCATACAAGTATGTATTATGTTGCCTATATGCAACATTAAAAATTAATGAGAAATCTTCCATCATCGAGATTTGAAAATAGCATATAAGAGATGAAACAACTGCAACATTAAGAGCACCGTCAGAAATGAATCTTATATCATCTTTTTTTTTCTCGTTTCTATATCTACAATCATTATGCTTTAATTTTTATATATATATATATATATTTTTTTTGCGTTTCAAAATCTAAGAAATTCATTCTTTTTGAATAGCAGCTGTTTTCGATCTTCTTGAAAACTGTTTTTTATCTTTGGAAAAAGTTATAAAATATAAGGCTATATCTATACAATGTTGTAATTTACCATAATATACAGAGGACCATATAGAGACTTTAAGTGTATGTATATGTGAATTATTTTGTCACTCATAATATTAAATTTTCTATATTTAGTTACCGCCACCAAAGATATTCCATTTATGTCCATTTTATGCGAACACTTAGTCTATATACGGTTGTTTTCAAATTATTCCATTTTGAAAAAAATAAAATGAAAAAGAAATTCCTTTTTCTTTCTTAACTCTTCATTCATTTCATCTTTTTTTTTTTGAGTTTTTTTTCTTATTTTTATAATAATTAATTTTTATACACTTTAATCCCATTAAAGCCAAAATGTGAAACTCTTTTTAAAATGCAATATTCGGTAAAATTTTTATCTTTTAATAAAATTCTCTACGGAACTGCAAAGCCATAATAATTAATTATATTTATTATCATAATCTAAAAAAGAAAAATTTTTGTACAATTAAATTTACAAATCCTCTGCGTAAAACAAAATAATTTTAGATTTATTTTCAGAAAATTCAAAAAATTTACCTTTTCTAAATAATTCAAAGGAAAATTTGCCGCAAGGGAAAGTTATTTTGAGAGAAATTTTATTTATATTTGATAGAAAGATCAAAAATTAATTTGTATTCATCAAAAATAATGATGAAAATTTGACCAGGATCAGAAAATGAAAATATCTTCATTAAATAAATGAATAAAATGTTTGGTCTAGTGATTGGACGAAGCATAGGATTTGTTTGTTTGCAAAAACAAGATTCGTTTGTTGATCTAATTTCAGTTTTATTTGATAATAAACTCAGAAATGAATGAGGTAGATAACAATATGCAGCTATTTTAATAAGTCAACAAAAAATGCAATTAACCGTTTACTGAAAATTTTGTAAATAACATTGTTATTGCTGTACAGCCACCCGTCTGGTTCATTAAATTTTACTTTGTAAATGGTGAACGACAGGAACATTTTTATGAAAACTTGCAAATTTGGTTGATAGTAAGGTTTGCCTAAAATATTTTTCAAAAACAGCCAAAGAAATCCTGAATTTGTTTAAAAAAACGTCTGTGGAGTATAATCAATTGATTTTAAACAATGATTTAAAAAGAAGGAAATAGTTTCAAAATATAACACTAATGCAATAACACGACTTCTAAATATGATTTATTAAGTCTAAGATTATAAGGTTTATAAATTCATAGCAATTCTAAACTAAATTAAATTACTATTTTTGAACTTAAAAATGATTACAGCTATTCATGGATTATACAAATTAAAATACTGTTATACGTTTATTAAATTTTATATATGTTTATATAACAATATATATTATTCATTACGCATATACTTACATTTTCTTGTTAACGCATGTGCTGGCATTATTTGCATTGTTGTATAACCTAAACCAGTATTTGTATCTAATAAATTCATTGCATCATCTGGTGTATATTCTGAATTTTCTAATATTGTATCATCAATTGATAATATTTGATCACCTATTGATAATGCACCACAACGATCAGCAATACTTGCTGGTAATATACTTGCAATATAAATTCCAGCAATACTAACTTCATCAATATCTCCAATAGCAGCATTATGTTCTTGTACTGGTGAATAATTTGCTAATACCAATCCTAATTTATCATTCATTGGACGTTCAATTTCAATTAAAAGTGGTCCTGTTGCATATTCAACACTTTGCATTACCGATACATCATATTCAATTGTAAGATTTGTTAATCCGGATATATGACCACATTTTAATAATTGTTGTGCTTCCGATAATGTTTTATTAATCAATGAATACTTTTTTTTATAATATAAGCGCCATCATCATCATTACATACATCATTCAAAATGAAATGTATGCATGTGTATATTTTAATTGTAAATTGAATAACAATAACAAAATAAAAAAGATTGTTGTTTTAATAACACATCAACAATTCAATAAACAAAAATTGAGAATGTTTCGTTGCATGTTAAGTACATTCACAATGATATTAAAGGAAAATGGAAAGAAAAATAAAAAAAAAAAGAAAATTTTATTTAAACGCTTTTGAAGAAAAAAGAATTTTTTTATTAGAATTTTTTATGTTACCAAAAAAGTGGGGTAAGAACATTTTATAAACAAACAATGAGACGGTTTGATGATTCAAGAGACTAATAATCAAATAAACAAATTTATGAGGAAATGAAAGAATAAATTTTAGATGCGTTATGCCTCCAATTTAATCGTTTAATTATTTGAGAATTATTTTATGTGTAATGCAGCAATTTATTGGAATTATAACCATCAAAGGATTAAGCTGTACAGTATACATAATATGCAGACCCAGAATTGAAAATAATCATTGTTTTTCTCATAGTCTGGATTAAGTAAAGAAACTTGATTTTCCATTGAAAAACATTTCCTTATGACAATAATTAATTGTCGTAAAATTTTAGAGTAATAATTGCAATTGAAGTATCGAACCCTAATAACAAGGCAAATTAAACTTCAAAATTTCTTCTTCGAAAAAAAACCATTTTGAAAAGAAAATTCGTATATAATCATCACAATTAAATAATTGAGAACGTTAAATTGAAAGAAATACAATGGATGTAAAGAAAAGAAGTTGAAATTAGAGGAAGTTGGCTTTTTACTTAATATATATACATATATATTAAATTTTTCTAAATATTTATTCTTGCTTCTATTTAAGAAACCTCACTTATTCGAATAAAACTTACATTATCAACTCTAAGTAAACGATCACCAGGTTTAACTCTACCAGTTTTAAAAACAGGACCATGTGGACGAACATGCGTTATCATTAATGGAAATTCACCGCCACCACGTAATGTTAAGCCTAAACAACCATTTTCACGTTCAACTGTAATTTGTGCTAATTTTGTTTGAACGCAAAGACTATTTTGTGATACTATTTCAATTAAAATAAAACAAAAAAAAATTTTTAATAAATTAAAAAATGCATTTTAAAATATCATTTGTTATATATGTACATGATAATAAATCTTTCTTACTATATTCTGGCAATGAATATTCAATTTCAACTAATGCCGGTGTTTCTCCCAAACATATTAAATTCATAATTTGAGAATTTGATAATCCAATTGTTGACATTCCATCTACTTGATGTATTCGATCACCAGGTGATAAAAAATCTGCTGCCGGTCCTGATGCATCAACTGAAGCAATAACAGGTGGATAACTTAGATCGGGCCGATCTAAAATGTAAGAAGAAAATTAATTCAAAATCATTTTAATTATGTGTTAAAGATAGAATATTTATAACAAATACGGAAAGTATAAAATAATAAATAATTCTCATAAACGTTTTATACTTAATTCGCTCTCAAATTTCGTATTCTCTTTGCTGTAAAACCTTTAACATCACAATTATTGATCAAATTTTAAGTTATAATTGAAATTTCAATAGTTACTAAGACAAATTTGGATGTTCCAAATTGAAATGTTTTGGAATTTATTACATATTCAAGTAATGAGAATAGCAAATTTGAATTCCTACTCATTTCAAAGTTAACAAACTACAATCTAACGTATATTCCAGGTGAAAACGTGAAATTTAGAAATCACTTCGTGAAACACAACATGTTCTTAATATTTTTATTTCACGGTTTTTTAATTTTAAAAAGAAGTCCTGTACATTCGAAATTTAAACTAACAAATATTTCATTGACATTCGCATAAACCAAACAAACCAAATGTTCAACACGGCCGAATGTTTAATAATCAAAAACAGGTTCATATGTTTAGAAAAAAATTCTTCAATTAACTGAGTAGTTCTTATTTGTAGTAGCAAATTTTGTGGTAAAATTAAATTTAACATTTAAAGTATGACCTAGATTTTTTCATGATGAGCGCTCAAACATTAATAGTCAATTTTAGAGACATTTTTAAAACATAATAAAAAGCAGAAGATTAAAAATTTATTGTCATTGCTTACAGGATTAAATTTTTAATGAAAAATAGTTTTTTTTTCTCAATTTTTGATTTGCTGCTTCAAAGAAACAATTTGTTTTCTTCTACAGAATGGAGAATCAAAAAAAATTTTTGTGGTCTTTTAAATTAAATTTTTTTTTAATCTTTTTTGTTTTTTCTGACATTTTTATTATTAATTTTTTCATTCTTAAAAATGATTTAATTTTTTTTTTTTTTTTGTTTTTTTTCGCAAAAAAAAAACAATTTTATTAAATTAATTTACAAAATTATCCACATAGGAACACAACATTAAATGTGACAGACTTGATTTTATATAGTTTTTTCCTTAAATTCTGCCAATTTTAATTATAATATGGCGTCTATATCATTTAATATTTGGAAAAAATATAGAAAAATAAAAAATCCCACACAGAAGCTTTAATGAAAAAAGAAAAAACTTTGCTTTATTTTTTTTGGCAAGCTCATATTTTTTTTTGTATATTTTAATATTAGCAATAGTTAAAAATATTTTATAAGAGAATTGAGTTGTTTAAGTTGATTTAAAATTTGTTCTAATCCATTTTAAAAATGTGCCACACGAAATTGTACTAAATTTAAATTTAAAAAAAAAAAAAACAAATTAGTAACGCATATCAATCATGTCACACATAAGTTGTATATGTACATTCAAAGGTAGTTTCTCCAATGTTGATGACTAATAAATTATTTAAAATGGCTGACAAACAACACCGCACAAAAAGAAATTTGTGAAATCGAAATGCTCTTCATTTATCCTTTGTTAAAATTTTTGATGAACGTTTTATAAAACTTTCCTTTTCAAGACCTGCAGGCTTGGGATTTCTAAAAAAAATATTGCCGAACAGAATTTTCAGAGCACTACACAAAATTTCTCCCGTTTGCAACACATTATAAAGTAATGTATTTAAGGACCTTCGAGTAATCAAAAAGAGTCTTAGGACCTATTCCAACGTAAAATCTTGCATTTTCAAAGCTCCTTCGAACTCCTCCCACTATAAACTTTCAAATGTCGGTTATTCCAAGTCTGAAATATATCAAAACTGACTGAATTATCTGTACGGTATTTGCAATCACAAAAAACGAACGTAGGAAATAAGAGACAATTGGGGCTCGTATATCACTTAAAAATATTTAAAGGAACAATTCCACCTCTACTTAATTATCTTAATTTGAAAAAGTCAAGTTTAAAAAAAACAATAAAATTTATTTAAAGCAAAGTTTTTAATTCATCGCTTTAATTCTATGCAAAATTTTCTCAAGCCTTCAAAAATTTTCCGTTTATTTTTTCTTTCACACTTTTTGTTGAATAGCAGAAAAATATAAAATTTTTTTGATTTATAATGGAAGAGCAGCGCAACGCTTTATTTGTGCCACAAATCTATTTGGCAAATTAAAGTACCCTTCCATTTTTCCTTTTTCCTTATCTATATTTCTCAGCACCTTCAATAATTAAAACACCTAATAATTCATCCCTGCTGCCTAATTTAACTTCGATTTAGTTAGCCTGTCCGCCTCCTTACTATTCCTTATTTCATCTGCTTAGTGGTCGAAAATACCCACTGGATAGAACTACTCTACAATCCACTAAATGGTTAACGTCACCAATCATTTCTCATTCGTTTGCCGTGATCTCTGCGACTTTGCCTACGGTAAGTATCTCAAACCTGAATACGCTTTTCTAATTCAGCATCCAAAAAGATACTCACGGAAAGAATACTAACAATTATTGTTGCCCTGGTTTAACTTTTTTCTTTATTAAGAAGGCATAAAAAACAATACGTTTCAATTTCAACATATTATGTATATATGTACAGGGTATATATATTCAACATTACAGTTCCCAATTACAATTTAGTTACCTTAATTAGTGATGAAACAATGTATTGGCATATGAATATAATTAATTAAAATGAAATTATTTATACAGTGAAATAAACTACATAATTAATTATAATTCAATGGTCAGTTCTGTTATGCATTCTTAACAACAAAACATTTCAAAATTTTATTTAAAAAACCAAAATTAAGTAAAAAAGTAATGAAAGAAACAAAAAACAAAACAACTATAAATAAATTATTTTTGATTCATTTGCTTTTCCCTCTCTTTCTCTTTTTTTTTTGAAATGATCTTCTCGTTCATTTTATCTTTAAATGTTTTTTTTATATTTTATTATGCGTTGAGATAAATTATATTTTTGTCTAGACCCATTGTACCAATCAAATTTGCGATAAGATATTTTTAAAATTTACTCTTAAGGTACCACAAAATTATGTACAAAATTGTTATAAATTAACACGACTACATACTTATTACGATATTATTTTGTTTGTAATAGACAAAATTTAGGAACTACAATATTTAAAAAAAAAAAAACTAAGAAATTTCGATGATTTATATTAAACATCATGTAATATTTTGCTATCTCTACACCTTAGAGAATAAAAATAATCAACTTGGCACACATAATAGTTTTCATATACTTATTATCTATATTAATATACAGAGTGTATCACTTAAGGTTGCAAATAAATTCTAAGATAATCTTCGCACTGATCACTTTCCAACAAAAAATCATAAAGGTACCCCTACCCAGTGGGTTACACTTGTGAGTGTTCTCGATCTACAATCTCTTAAAAAATGAGTTCTTCATATAAAGCTAAGTACATAACGACAACTTCGAAATCGTTAAATATTGATCAAAGAGAATTATATTTCTAAAATTATGTGCAATCTTATGTGTATCAACCTGTATATATGTACATACATCCATACATAGCAACATGCATAATATTAAAATATAAATTAAAATAACAAAAATAAAAAAACTATTCAAAATCTCTTTCTAATTTGTTGAATTATGAATCATGGCGAATTTAATATTTATGGTAGTTAAAGAAATAAATATAAACACACACACAGACAAGATAATAATAAATTTACGTGCGTATACCTTTATGTTCGACAAACAACAAAAAAAAAAATTTTAAAAATATATGACGAAAAATCTTTTTGAAGTGAAATTTAAAAATAGTGAAATAAAAACAAAAAAATAAAAAAAAAAGGAAAATTAAAAACATAAACAAGAAAACATAAAAATATAAGATTTCCGTTCATTGAAGGGAAATTGCGAAAATTTTGGCAAAAGAAACAAACGCCATGCGTTGTTTATTTCTGTTTTTCTTTTTTTTTTTTAAATAATGATGACTAAGATGATTAGAGGATTTATACATATATATATGTACATATATAAAAGTAGCTGTTCTATTAGATTAAGAAGCAAAAATTGATTAGATTCGGTCAATTTTCAAAAAAAAATAATAAAATAAGAAAAACAACACGAAAAGAAAATATTAGTCCTATTTGAAATTTAATTTTTTGATCTATTTTGATTTTTCCCATAAAAAATAAATGTAATCAAAATCTTATTAATTAGGTTCCGATTTTAAGTCCTAGACTACCAAAAACAGAGATTTATTACCGAACATTGGAATTAACATTACGTGACAAACAACAATCTTATTATATACATAGATGCCTTCCTAAGTTAAGAACCATAAATTCTGCAAATCTCGAATATCAAAAAATACGACAAATCGTTCAAATATTTCGTGTTATCCCTGAAGTGTGAAATCTGCAAAGGTAATCAGAGATCTTTTACAATAACAACTCTAAATATAAGTAGATGAATAAATCACTACGAAATGGTGTATTGTACTACTCAGCTTCAAAAATCGGAATTACATTCTTATACCACGACAACCAATATATATCAGAAAAATACACAACCCTTAATGCAACGCTTCAAAATTTTTTCGCAACAGCGAAAATAAGAAAAATATTTAAAGCGCAAAAGCTGCTTTAATAGTACAGTTCAATGTACGAAACATATAGATAAATAGTCTAATAACATAAGAAGGGAGTTCCTTGTTGAAATCATAACGAAACGTTGATTACAAGTCGTCCTATATCGACAATAATTTTTAGGCTGACTATAATGCAAAAGTCAAAGACCATCCTGGTTAACACCATTTCTGCAATCCTGACCATCGCAAGTACCGCACCGCGCCTTGAAATTACTACAGTAAATCGGCCATATTACACGCACAAACGAAAATAAAAAACGAAAAATTATAAAATGCATCATACTTGCAAAAACAAAAGTATACTTGAAAGGTACTCCGTCAGAAAAGAACCAACACGACCATATCCATTCTAAATTAGAAGAACAGAACCGTTCCCTATCTAACTTCAATTATATAACAAGAAATTCGGTCTAATTTTAAACACTCTATTGACTTCACTGAAAACGACTTAAATCTCATATTTTTCAGCCATACATCACTTATTTGCAATTAACCTCCTTATATGTATCATAAAATACCTTCATAACTTTTCGCCTTTTTTTACCTAACGTAATAAAGTGCTAAAATAAATTTAATAATATAATAATTTAATATTTTACCTGCAAATATAATATCCATTGCTTGTGCACTTTCTCTTGGTAATGATATTATTGCTGAAGTTGGTCCACGATCTGGAGCCAAACCGCTGTCTTCTGATTGTGCTGGACTCATTGCACGGTCACCTATAATAAAAATGATTTTCTTTTATTAATTACTTGTTTATAATAAATTTGTTAAAATTCTTAAGAACTAGACTTCATAAACCAAAAAATATTTTTGATTATTCATTTTACTTAGCGCTAGTCAACACACCGGAAAATATTCTTCTTAACTCAATTTTCAATTATTTGAACAATTAAACTTTTTTAATTTTCCGTATTTTATGAGCTCTTTAAAGGATACTTCAATGAAAAAAAAATTTCAAAATACCACAACTGAGACACAATACAGGATTAAATCACCTAGAGAGTAAATTTAATAAAATAAAAATATTCTTTTTGATTGCATCGTTGCACTTCATTTAATTTTCTACAATATTCAACATTCAATTAAATGTCGTCAAGAGGGATATAAACATTTATTTTTAAATTGAAAGAACGTGAGAATATTAAAATTTTATTTTAAAATCTTAAATTTCAGATCTGTCAATCTTAAAACAAAGTTTTAAATAAAAGAATAGAATATTCAAAAAAATCTTTTATTTTCATGATTTTAGGGGGGGAAATATTTTTTTTTCAATAATCATAAAAATGTCTTCAGAGGTAGAATGGTACACATTTTTATTGTGGATGGTTTGATTTATTTGAGCAAGTTGTTAAATATACTTGTATTGTAAAAGATACAACTAATTATTTCACACTCCTCCTAAAATATCTTTAACAAATATAAATATTATATTATTTTACAGAACTCTATATTTTTCTAGAACTCATTTTATATTACTATAATCAATACTACACCCTTAATTATTAAATATTCTAATAACTAATTACGAATACAGCAAAAATAATGTAAAGTATTAGAAATTATTGAATTTATTCATAAGAAAATTAATATGTCTCTTACAGAAACAAGAACTGAACGAATAAGTTAATAATTATTTGTTATTATAAATGCTAGTGAGAAGTGTTGCCGCTTTTTTTAAATTTAATTGCATTGCATTAATGAATATGATAAGAAGCTTGTATTTCAAATATGAATAATTTATGATAAATCTTTGAGTTTTTCACCAAAAGACCCTGAATTGAATTGTTTAACCCTGAATTACGTAGGTACTTAATTGTCCAATTTTTCAAGCAAAATGTATAATTACTCATCGATTATACTAAATTTGTGCGATGATAATTATTAATAATACAAAAGCCCCTTGTGACAATACACTTAAGAATCACAATTTTTTCATTTTATCACAAAGAAAAAACTAAATTCTTCATTGGGGTAGGTTCTATTCATTATTTTCAAAAAAACAAAAAGAAGGAAATAACAAAACATCCGAACACATCTGTAATTACAATTAATACATTTTTAGCTCTGATTTCATAAAATAAATAACCCTTCCGTTGACAAATTAAATTAAAAAAGAAAAAACAGATCCGAATAAATTTTTAATGAATTTATTATAATTTTTATATTATGTATGTAAATAAATTTATTTATAATCTGTGTGAGTTATTAAAAATTATGAATCTTTTCATCTTATTATGTTTCAACAAAAATAAAAATTAAAATTTGAACCGTACTCACAGAAATCTTTTAAGCCTCCCCCATTTTTCTTATATGAAAAAAAATATTTGAATTAAATTATCAATATCATTTAGTTTGTACAGAACAATTTTTTTCATTATGATCACAAATGCAAACACATGTTCAAAGTGTAATTTGAAACCCTGTGTTTTGTTAAATCTTTTCATATTAAGAACATTTTCAATATTTAATGTCAGTTTAATATTCCACACATTCTTTTTTCAATTATCCTAAGGTCATACAGTAATTAAATGTTAACCAAAATATTATAAAATGAGGGCAAATTTTTCAAAATATCTACATATATGCATATATAAATCAACGCATTGCTTCACAATCCATGCGATTGTCATGAAATGATCTTAATTCCAAATTTCTCGAAAAATCTATATAGTTCGACAATTACTTCGAAATAGTCCTTTTTCGTGCGGAACTTGAGGAATACATTCATAAGTCACAATATTGAAAAGATCTCTTTTTTTTGTGCTTTAGTCAGAAATTTTTAAAATTTTTCATTTCATGTAATAAATGAATTTATTACTCTATAAAGACCAGATACTACAAGGCATAGTTACCACACTACGTGGCGTGGTTACTTGTGACATAGATCAGGAAATTTTCTAATTTACTAGTATATATCGATCTAGATAGTATTGATGGAAAAGTAAAAAATATCGTGTATTCCAAAGCGGGTGGAAAAGTAAATTAGATTTACAACAATGCTGAAAGAACTGTGAAAGGTTTTGTGCTTATTTAGCGAATTCTTCTTTAACAGAACGTACATAACATGTAAATAAAATTTCCTCTTTATTTGTATGTGTTTTTAGTTGCTTTAAATGGTTTCTTCTTTCCATACATGCTCGAGTGGGCATATGAACTCCACAGCAGAATACGGTCAGTAAAGATTCAATAAAACAATAAAATGGAAAATGATAATAGCATGAATTATATTCCAAATTTTATTGATCTTCTATCTTCGCCTTCAAAATGCCTTAAAACTCAAATGACGCTTTTTTTTTTTAATTAGGCTCAGTTTTTTCATAAATTTGATGAGAGAATAATGTCATATTTTGTAAGATATGATGATGGGTAACCGCTTGAACTCACGCAATAAGTTGATTCATACTTAGTTGATAAGTTGATTCTTAGTAGAAAAAATTGAATTGAACTATGGTATACGAGGAGCAAAATTTGTAAATAATGCTTCACAATTAGGCTATAATAGAAAAACGTATTGCACATAAATTGAATTTATTCTTAGTTTTATAACCGTGTATATGCATAAAATTCGCGAAAATACAAAAAATATAAATTCATATATATATAGGTATAGGTATGTTTATAAGCCTAAGTATTTGAAAATTATGATTCATAATTCATTTAATAAAAAAGCATTTTGAATTTTCTTATTCCTTCTTCCTTTTGTTTTTCAATTTTCATCTCTCCATTTAATGATTCATAAAATGTTCCAAGTTTTAATTTTAGAACTAGAATTTTTATCTTTTTTTCGTTGTTTTTATTCTTTGAATTTCACCATATAATGTCAACATCGAAAAAATATATATGTAAAATAAAAATAAATTCACAATAGACGTACAATACGCTATAATGCTTGCATATTCCACCTTTGTATATCACAAAAGAAGAGAAAAAAAAAACAGTAGTTTATTTTACCGTTTCGTTTGATGCACATGTTTCACTTACATACATACGTATTTATGTACATACTTACATATATGCCCTTTGAGAATTCCGTATAGATATTTAAGATGCATTTAAGTGCAATAAAAACTACATAAGTGTACAAATTTAAAATAAAAAATCATCATTTTGAAAAAATAATTGAGACTAAAATAAAAAAAAAACTAAAAATAACTTGAAAATAAAAACAATGCAATTTTAAAATTCATGTTTCTTTGCTGAATTCAAATTAAATGCAATTATTGCTTTTATTATTACAACAGAAGTCAGAAAATTTCATTTTATTTTATGGCTGTAGGCAACACTTAAAACAAATTTCAAAAATAAAAAATTCTAAATACAAAATTTGGTTCTAAATTTTAACTCTTTCATGGACACCTTAAAGTTGTGGTTAAACGTGGATCACTTTTCATATCTTCCAAATTTTTAAAGATATAAAAATTCTGTAAAGAGCAAATGAAAGGAAATTTGCAATTGCATTTATGACGAGTGATGTCATCGCACGCAGGTCAATACATTTCAAAGTAAATGCAAAAACGTATGACGACTAGACGCGCCGTGACGAGTTTGAATAAAACCGAATTCTAAATAAACCACCATTCATCGCAACTTTCAAAGTCTGAATCAACGTCTCCAAAAAATTTTTCTATATTTTGTCCTTCCTATTTATACGACGTGTGTTTAATAAAAAATCTTTGTATTTTATTTTCTATTAGAAACCAGTTTTTTGTTGCATATAGAAACAGTACACTTATTTTCGTACTGAATAAATTTACATGAAAACGAAACGAATTAACTGGTCATAATATTTGGAGGAAGCATCGGATTGCAAAATTATTTTTTTTTTTCATGTTTTATCTTATACGTTTCCAGTGTGTATTATGTTTTACATAAATACACACTGGGAACGTATTTCAACTTCTAGTAGGTCACTAAACACTCACAAATAGTTTAAACTCCTATAAAACTTAACAAGTATTCTCGTCATAATTTTTTTTAGTGAAGCAAATTTTGACATGATCTCTCTAATTTCTCGTCATGAAAATACATTTGTGTTAGGCGCTCTTATATTAATTTTAAAATTCACAATAATTTTGCACGATTTTTAAATTTTCTTAATCACATTTTTCCTAAAATTATACAAAAAACTTTTAATTTATAAATTAAAAATTAAATTTTGGAATTAAAATTATTTTGAGAATTCTCAATTTAAATATAAACAAAATTTTCGAGATTCAGACAAAATTTCGAAACCTTTTTAATACCTCATAGCTATCTGTTTTATTTTAAAATCTAGCATATCAAAAATATTAGAATAAAATTATGTACCAGATAAATCTAAGCAGTACAAAAAATACCTACAGTAAATATTTAAGTTTCATTACATCACAACCATAAGTCGCGTAATCATAAATTATTTCAATAAAATCTACGACATCTTGACAAAACAAAAAATCAACTTGAATCCTCATCAATTATTCAATCGACATAGAAAAAAATTCCTTTTTTTTCTATATATAAAAATTTTTTTAATATTTCGACAGTTTAATTAACTTATAATATCATAAAGAAGATTTAATTAAGATAAAAAAAAAATCTAAAGCTTTTATTTTCTTTTTTTATTTATTTTACATTACCAGAGTATGTACAACAAATTGATGACAACTCCACAAAACCGAGATCATCTTCCTAAAACATTAAAATTAAATAAACCGAAACGATTGACGCATGTTCTATG